CCCCAAAACCCCAAAACCCCTCAATAATTTATAATAAGATTATTATTATAAATGTAATAATATATAAACAAATGAAAAGTTATATGCTCTGCAATAGAAAGTCTATTTTGTTAATTTTGCTTTTGATACAAACGGCTATAGTAAAAAGTCAGTTTATGGATCAAGGAAGCTTTTGTTAAAGTGATAATGATTGCGAGACAATTTGCTGTTTTAACCTAAAATGTGATATAAAAAATAATTGTCTAAACAGAGATTTGCTTTTGGCTAACTATTAGAATTAAGTTTGCGACCGAGATTAAGATTGCCCTGATAGTAGTTGCTGCGTTGCAAAATAATGCCTCTCAGATGATAAGTGCTTCAAGTTATTCAAATCACCTTTAATACTTGGAGTATTCCTATCTTTACCTTACTTCGGAATACTCTTTTTGATTGCTAATTATTATTCTAAAAAAGAGATTAAAAAACGTGATTAAGTCTTAAAATAGAATGAGGAATTTGAAAGAGTATAGAATGCTTTTAAAGATCCTGATTTTTCTAGTAAATTTGAGCATGAAGAGTCTAAATTGGGGAAAACTGATAAATCTAAAGTAGAAAATAGTGAAATACTTTTAGAAGATGATGCTGATAGTGCTACCTAAGGAGAAAACTCAAGTAAATTATCTTAGAATATGGAGGGCTCACCTCATCGAGGCAGTGCAAGGAGTCCTCATAAAAACATCACTAGTAATACTAGTGAAAAGACAAAGAAGGCTTAGACGGCTAAACACTAGACCTAGGCCAAGGTAGAATAAGATTTTTCTCAATCTCTAAGAAAATTAAAACAAAATTTGTCAAAAAATATGCCAATTTCTGCAAGAAATCAAAATAATCATGGTTAATCAGGTTATGATGATCAAGATGATGGTTACATACCTTATGATGAAAAAATGCTTGCTCCTAAAGCGCCAAGTTAAACTTCGGCACGAGGTTAACTCATTAACTTCCAATCAAGCTAGATTGATTATAATGACCTTCATGACTAATAAAAACAAGCTAAAGATTAGAGCTACTAATTTGAAGATTTTAACAACATGCTATAAGCAGCATAGCCTGGCATATAATAATTAGCTAAAAAGGGGAAGAAAGGAGGTAATAAATTAATTTCAAAAAAAAGGGGTAAAAAGAATAATTATAGCGATGCATTCATTAAAAATCCCTATCAGTAAGATGTGTTGGAAGAAGAGGGGAAATAGCACAATGTATTGGATGAGTCGAGTACTATTTACGGAGCTTTCAATTTAAGCAGTCAAGGATTTAATGTAAAGATGGATAATGCAAATGATTTGAAAGTCAATAATAAAGCCAAAAATAGCACATTCGTGGGTGCTACATAGAGTAACAAGTAGATTTTTTAAGAAAAGAAAAAATAAGTCAATTAGCTCTTTTAGGAGTTTAAAGACACTGAAAATATAGCTCATATTCCAATTTCAAAAAATTGATTATTTATTATTTTGAAACTATAAATATTCATTCTTATGGGGTTTTGGGGTTTTGGGG